AGAATGGGAATGAAAAGAAAGACTGTGGATTCCATGTGAAATATCTGCACAGAGAAAGTGTTTTCAGGAAGCACTCTCACTATTAGCCCAACAGGCAAGTGTTAACAACAGCAAGCTTTCAGGCTTGCAAGCACTTCTTCAGAAGCAGTAGTTTATGAAGGACAGAGACCAAAGACCCAACACTTTGTGCTAAACCTGATTATAGTCAATAATCATTTAGAGCCTGAAGGCATTGACAAGTATGAGAGGTCCAAGATCAGCGACCCTTACGCCAGAGATAAAGTAATTAATATGATAACAATGATATAAATGATATTATAGAATAAATAATAATAATGTAATTGTCATGTAGTGATTGTGGCAATGAGGAGTGGCAGATGTTGAAAGGTTACCATAAAACTTAATGTAAGTTTTCTGAAAGTGCTTTGGGGTAGATAATGCTCAAGTTACCACAATAAATGACCCAGTTTTACTAATCCAGTATCAGTAATTGACTAGAGTCTTTCAAATGCCATGAGAGTCAAGGTCAAGTCTAGGCAGACCCCACTGGGGTCTGTCCTGGTACTTGTCCTCTTCAGCAACCTGTGCCAGTCTATAATCATGTCCATCTTGAAGATGATGTCAAACTGGGGAACAACCAGCCAACACACTCAAGGGCAGGACTGCCACTGCAGCAGGACCCACTCAGGCAGAAACAAGAGGCAAACAGAAACCTGAAGGAATTCAAGAAGGCTGCACACAAAGCCATACACCTGGGAAGGAAAAGCCCCTGGCAATAGCACAGGCTGGAGCCTGACTGCCTGTAAAGCAGCCATGCTAGAAAGGACGTGGGGGGGGCAGGACATGAGCCAGCAGTGAGCCCTGGCAGCAGGAACAGCGACAGTAAATTGTGAGAAGTGGTCATTTGCTTCTACTCAGCCTTGCCAGACCACCTTCATAATACTGTGTCCAGTTTTCCCCTTCCCAGCTCCCCTCAGCAGCAGAAATACTGACAGACTGCCATCAGTTCAGCAAAGAAACTCCAGGATGGGTAAGGGCTGGAGACCCTGCCATACTGGGAAAGGCTGAGAGAGCTGGGCTTGTTGTGCTTGGGGAAGGGAAGGCTTCAAGCCTCCTAGAAGTAGTTTTTCAGTACCTAAAAGGGGTCATTCAAGGACAAGCCAAGCTCTTTAGTGGTGCTTGGAGGAAGGCAACAGCAGGAAGGCAAGAGATGCAGAGGTTGAGACTGGGTGTAGGAGAACTCCCCCTCCCTGTCATACACTCGAGGGGGTCACGGGGCAGAGCACACTGCCTAGGGAGGCTGTGCAGTCTCCATCCTCACAGGTTTTCAAGATGGATACAGCCCTGGGCAACCTGGTCTGATCCCAGGGCTGATGTTCCTCTGAGCAGATCATCTCCCAAAGTCTCCTGCCACCTGAATTTTCCTAAGATTTCACTCAAGTGCTGTCTATAAAATTTCTACTCTATTGCCCACCACGCTGCACCACCATCTCCTCCTAACCCTCATTAACTCTTGAGTCCATAAAGCATGTTCCTGATCAATTCCTTCAGAAATCTGCAACAGGAACTGGCTTCTCCACAGAAAAGGTCATCCAATTCTCTCTATATACATACACCAAACCGTACTCTACTACAAGGAAGTTTTTAGAGCTCATCTGAGTTCCCCCTCCTTTCCTCCTACAAGGAGGGATTCTGGAGCTGCTCATTGCCAGATTTCCAAGCAGTGGCACAGAGTTCATAAAAAAACCAGCACCTTAGCATCACCTGGAGGGTGAGATTGAAGAATATGTGGTCTATGAAATAGAATATGTCTATTCCAGTCTTTTTTTCTAGAACCTTATTTCAAAATTAAATCTATGTAATTTTCTTCTAAAAACCCCAACAAATGACCACACAAAAAAAGAACATTATCAAACATTTGCCTCTGCCATTTTTCAGCTCACCTGATTATTTGCAGGTTTGTACTTCAGTCCTGGCTTGTTCAAGATCCTTTCAATCTGCTCATGGTTGAAGTTGGAGACTCCAATGGCTTTTACCAGGCCAGCATCCACCAGCTCCTCCATGGCCTGGCAGAAAGAAGCACAAAGTCAGCATCTACTATATAGAGGAAGGGCTTGAATAGCACATGCTTCCTGACATGCCTTGTTCCCTTCATAAGAATCCTAAATGAAGTGTTCAGAATTTTAGAATTCGAGCTTGAGGAAAAAAAAAAAAACCCAGAGCACTGGCATATATGTGCCATGCTTCCCGTACTCAAAGGACTTATTCTTTGTGACTATGGAAATTCACAGGAAGTTAGAAGTGGAAAATGATAAATTGATACAAAACAGCTTGCTATTGCACCAGTGAGTCTTTCCAAGTAATTCCAAATACATGAGATTGCCTTCTGTTCTCAGCAGTCTCTGATGCTCTCATTACCTTCATCAGTCCAAACTTTCTCCTGCTGTGGCTGAACTTACCTCCCATGTGTCTAGAATATCTGTGTTGCTGGAGATAGCAATGCCTTTGTCATCTACAGGGAACAGGTCCTCTCCTGCCTGTCAGTGAGAAAGAAATTGCTTGAAACACATTATTGGGAGGGTGGGTTAACACCAGCTGAAGACCATGACCCGAGAAATTGCTTGAAACACATTGGGAGGGTGGGTTAACACCAGCTGAAGACCATGACCCTATAAACACTTATTACACAAATCATCTACACATGTATTAGACTTCAATACTCACTATCTATAGTCTTCAGTCTTTTCTTTTTTGTGTTCTCATGGTACTGTGGTGGTTTTTTTGCCTACAGTCAAGCCAGTAAGGACAGATACTTCTGATGGACATTGTGTCCCCTGGCTCATCGAAATCCATGTGGTGAAACTTATCTCTCCACTTGTAACACAGAAAGTAGAATTATAGCCAGTTTACAAAAATACACAGTTGTTACCTGCTCATAGTGAAGTGGTTCAGTGAAATGCATAATAAGGACCCACTTAGGACTTGGAATATGTTCACCTTATACCGGACCAGATTTCCTGACAGGTCTTTCATGGGGAGCCTCATTGTTTAGGCTGCTGGCACAGGGAAGGTTAGAACACCCTGTATCCCTGCTAGGACTATCTGCCAGGTGTCAACTTCACTCAAAACCAGTTCTTTTCTACTCATTCATTATTTACACCACGGCACATTTTCACTTTGATAGTTCTGTCCGTGCAAAACTGATTTTAAAAATACAGATGTTACAAAGAACAGTTCATCTTGGTAGCAAGAGGTAGAGACAAAATCTTGATCAAGTTCTCAGAGAAAGCCTAAGCTTGGACATATTCAAACTGAGATATCAGTTCCTTTGCAGGCATACAGTGTTAGGAAGAGTTAGGAACTAAAAAGTTCAACTCCAGAGCCTGTGGAATGCTAAAGCTCCTATAGCAAAGATCTAAATAGAGGAGCTAAAGCTCCTATGGCAAAAAATCCAAAGCTGGATTGTATTTAAGGACTCGGTGATTAAAGACAGGAATGAGAGATAAGCAATCTCTTATTCTGTGATTCTGTAACATGCAGTGGAAAGAACTTCTGTCAGACAGCAAAGTATAGCCCTCTTCCCACAAAGAGGGAACCATATTGAGCATAACTTTGGATTTGTAGAAGACAACACAAGCAATAATCAAAAGGAAAGAAATATAAGTTCTGTTTCCAGCAGGGAAACCCATTCCTAGGGTTCAAGGTCTGCCTCTTCCATGACCAAAAGGGCAGCAGATGCCATGCAAGCAGGGATCTAAGAGACAAAAATCAACAGCCTGGCTCCCATGGCCACAGTGAAGCTGAGCACCAGATCAGTGCTGTTACACAACACACACAGAATGATCTGTGCAACTGAAGCAATCACTGGGCTATAAAGCCATATAGCTCCTCATAACTGCCACTCACTGACAAAGCCAAGGCCACTGCTGCTACTGTACCTTCAAACCAAGAGGCCAGTGGATGAGGTACAGATCCAGGTAATCCAGCTTCAGGGCAGTGAGAGTCTTCTGGCAGGCTCCCTTCACCAGAGGCTTCTCGTGGAACGTGCACCACAGCTGGAGACAAAAAGCCAAGGCACATTGTGACCTCTTGGGTTAAAGCTCCTGGAACTCTTCTGTACTGTTCAGCAGGGTGCCTGTCCCCTTGGGAAAGTGATGTGAAACCAGGTCATCCCACAGCTCTTCAAGTGGGGCTGTTTTGTGAGCAGCACTGGCCCGTGATACTGGGCAATGTGGCTGCACCCATGACTGCACGGTGTCCTGGCAGATAGCAGAAGCAGCCTTGTTTCACTTATTAAGACTAAAGCTGAAAGCATCGCACAAATCTGTGGTATGGACCCTGCATAATTCTCAATGCAGGATGAGGTAAAGCAGGAATCTCAGGAGTGGCTTAAGTGATGCTCTGAATTGTTCCACTCTGCACAACAGAGTAGGTAAGTAAAGAAGCGAGGGTTTACTTTAAGATAAAAAGGTATCCCCTGGTACATCCTGTACAACCAGACCCCTACCTTACTGACGACAAAGAGGTCCTCTCGTTTCACAACGCCTTCCTTGATTTTCTGCTGGATCCTTCCCCAACTTCGTTCTCGTTCTGGTACACATAGGCGCAGTCGAGGTGGCGGTACCCGGCATCGATGGCAGCCGTCACCGCAGCCGTCACCTTCCCCGGCTCGGACTGAAAAAAGCGATGGCAAAAAAACCGCTCACCAACACAGCATGGAAGGCCGTTCTCACGGCAAGATAAAGCTGAGAAAGCCGCCACATCCAAAGCAAGCCCCAGCTAAAACAAAGCCGAATCCCGGCGGCGGCCGGGCCGGGTGTCGGCGGCGCTGGCAGGGCCCGAGCCGCGCTCCTTCCTTCCTTCCTGCCCCGCTCCCCATCGCCCTCACGCCGCCAGCCCACGGGAGCGCCCCCCGCTACCTTCCACGTGCCCAGCCCCAGGATGGGCATCTTGGCCCCGGTGTTGAGCTGCACGTAGCTCGCCATGGCCGCGCCAGCAGCACCACCGCGGTGGCTGCGGCCGAGCCCCGCGCCTTTAATAGCGAGCGGGGCCGGGCCCGCCCCGCCCGGCTCCGGCTCCCGGGGCGGCGCCGAGCCCGGGGCTGCGGAGCAGGCCGCGACTGCGGCTCCGTGTCGGGGATCGGCCCGCAGCCCCCGGGATCACCGCACACCGACACTCCCGCAGCGCCTCATACCTCCCGGCACAGGGGACGTGGGGCACAGCTGTCCCCGAGGGCCGGGGGCTGAGGCGCGCCGAGCCCCGTGTCCCCTCACAGGGGTGGTGGCCCCGGCTGGTGCCCCTTGCCGGAGTCTTGTGTTCCCCTTGCCCAAGTCTTGTGTTCCCCTTGCCCGAGTCTTGTGGTGCCCCTTGCCCAAGTCTTGTGTTCCCCTTGCCCGAGTCTTGTGGCAAAACCCACGGCGTGCCTGGTTTCTGAGAGCCAGGCAAAGCTGTTCCAAAGCTTCCACTGCGAGCTGTGGCTTAGGAGTGATTTAGGGTAGAGCGGATCTAAGAAAAGCCCGGCTTTATTTTGAATTTTGGAAGAGGTTTTTTTGAAAGTCTCGGAAGAGGAGCAGTGAGTTTTTAATGAGCGGCATAATGATCGCGCTGTCCCTCTGTCTGTGGGGAGGTGCTGAGGACGTCGCAGAATAAAATGCACGATTGTAATCGCAGGCAGCAGTCTCCCGTCACAAACTGGCTTTGATGCTTTTGCAGACAAGCATTCGCTGTTCTGCTGAAGACGTCACAGCGCAATGGAAAAAGCCAGACTTGCCTGGGAGGCTTGGCTGCTTATTCACATGTGAAGAGTTTCTTCAGGTGCGAGCGTTTGCTCTGGGTGCCTCTCCCTGCTATCTGCAACTTCATATTTTTTGCTCCATTTAGCTAAGGACGGCAAGGTAATTGGTTTTCCTCTTTAATGTTCCTCCTGTTTCGTGTCAGCACCATCAGGCACCCCGGCAGGATGCGATGTGCTTTCACTTGGATCACAAAACCTTTACACAACTTGGTGCTCATCTCTTGCCGCTTGGGTTGAATTTTCCCTCATGGTTTCAAGTCAGAGAGATGCCTCCATCCTGTCACAAGAGGCTTCGGGCAGAAGTTCTGTATTTTGTTTTTGCTCTTAGCTCTTGCGAGTTGGAGCCTTTCCCCTCAGAGCTGTAAGGCCAGTCAGCTTTCCACTGTTTCCCTCTCCTGAAGGTCTGGTGGGGGCCTTGGGGAAGAAGAAGTACTGCATGTGTCACCCTGTGACAGCCAGCCTGCTATATTTTGTTCCCCCTGTCCTTGATAGCATGGCCATGTCTTCACAGAGAGCGCTGACATTGAGGAACTGCAAGGGGGAGGAGGGTCTTGCTTTCTTTTTTTTTCCTTAATCCACGTGCACTGGAACAGGAGGAGTAATCTCACGAGTTTTTAGTGTGTTTTGCTGACTTTGCATTTAGTGACTGTAATTGCACCACAAGTTGTGACTTTGGTGGCCAGCAGTGTTTGGAATCTGAGAACAGGGCCCAAATTAAGGGAAGTGGGTATGTCCTTATGGACAGTTTTTGCCAGAGAGACCCTCTGAGAACATCTGAAGGCAAAGCAGGGAGGTGACAGTATTGCAAGGTGTGATCATATCTACAATGAAGGGGAAGAGCTGCAGGGTGTGCAGCTTCAGAGCTACCACAGACACAGGCTACCCACAGACACAGGCATAGCTTAAACCAGGATTTGGAGGTGAGGGCATGCAGGTTTCACGCTTGAATCACTGGGAAGCACAGCAGGAATTTCTGCTTTGCTTGGAGGGGAGATTTATCTTGCTCAGTGGGGGGTTCCAGTTCCACCTCTGGATGCCAGGAGGCAGATCTCAGGGGCTTGGCCAGCTCTGACTGTGGAAGACCTTGGCCTCTTTTTCACTCTGAGCTGGGATCAGCCCAGGAGCATATCTTGGTGGATCTCCCATATTCTCAGAGCTGATGATGCTTTTTGTCCTTTAATCTCATCTGCTGAAATAACAAGCTCCAGGCACAGCCAAGGATGAGGAAGTGATCTTTCCACCCCTCTGTGGTGATTGTTGTGTGGGAAGGGCAGGTTTAGTGCAGCAGGGGAAGCCTGGACGGGGGGAAACCATGAACTGCCCCAGACTGGTCAGGAGTGATTCTGGCAGGCTCTGAAACTGGGTGACCGAGTTCTGGCAGATGGGAAGCACCTGTGTGTCCCCCACAGTCCCCCTGGCTGCTGAGAAGAAGGACAGCACCTCACTCCAAAGGGGGCTCCTGTGGGCTGGGCCACCCCTGCTGGGCAGCCCTGGGGACAGTGGCAGCGCTGGGGACAGCAGACTGCCCACCCAGGAGCTCTAGGACTCAGTAAGCAGGACTGAGTGGTGAAAGGAAGCATCAGGCACCCAGCATCACCCTCTGAGCCAGCCTTGGTTCCAGGGAGGGATTGGGATGGCCTGGAGGCAATCTGTGGTGACAGAGTCAGGGTGGAGAGGAGGACAGGGAGTGGATTGGTGTTTGGCTTAAACAGAGGCTGGGGAAAGGGTGAAAAGGGCATTTACTCATTTGTTCTGTGTTCTTTCTTCTCTCCTCAGTTCCCCTGAGTCACAGCCCAGAAGTGGAGCAGTGAGAACTCTGGAAGGAGCACTGATCCTGGCCCTGGGAATACCCAGTGGTGGAAATGGAGCAGCCAGTGCATGTCCAGGGGGGTACACCCAGTGTGCAATTGCCTGAAGAGAGGAGGCACCTGGGCAGACCCGTGCTGGGTAGGAAGATCACTTGGAAGAGAGAAACCGATGCTTTCTGAAAGCTGATGGCAAAGTGAAGACAAAGCCTCTTCAGGCAGTCCGAGCTGCAAGGTTAGGTAGGCCTGTGGAGGTGGGAGTGCTGCTCCCCAGAATCTGAGGGCTCTCTTGACAGTCCTCTGCTCAGAATGAAGCTGCAGAAATATTGATCTGTCCCTGCAGTGGTCATGTCCATGCTTGGGAACTGAAGCAAATGGGATGCAGGTTTTTGCCTTGTAAGAGCAGAGTTCTGGGAAGTTTGAGGTCTCTGCTACTAGCAGGCACTGTCCTTCCCAAGGGAGGAAGGCTTTAGGACCCATCAGTGAAGGACTGTGAGGAGAAATAATCTGATTCTGCTGATCCCACAGGTGACACTCCCCTGCAGTTGCTTGGACTTGCTGAGTTGTGTTTACAGGCAAGGGGGAAGGGACCCTGAAAAAAGTGGTGATCACTGATGCTGTTGCCTGAAAGCTGCAAGGTCTGAGCACAGTTACTGCTGGTATCACTTGATAAGCTGTTGGGACATCAAGGAGTCACACACATGCCTTGTTCTGGATGGTGCATGCCAGAAGATGGGCAGAGTAGTGGCATGACCAAGGATAGTGCTGGGAGTTCAGCTTGGAAAGCATTTTAGAAGTGGTTGGAAAATATGTTGACTGTTGCAGTGTTGATCCTGATAATTTTGTCTGTGGGAGAAGGGGTGGGTTTGGGATATGTGTCTTATGTTTGCACTGGTGAGGTGTTAACTGCACTGGTCTGCAGGGGCAAAGGCTGGAGTTCATAATGAATATGCAGTCTGATGATCATTATGTTAAAGATGGAGTTTGAATAAGGGTAAAACAATTCCTCAATAAAGTGCAGGGTGGAATGTAAAGAACATAAATTCCAGATGGTATCAAGGGATGGCAGTGGAGACCTCTAACACAGATATAAACACCCTGTCCCATGCCAGAATTTAAGCTCACAGTACTGTGACTCAGAAATACTTCTGGAGACAGAGATGCACTTTTAAATGAGATCCCTGCTGAAAGGACTTAATTCCAAGGGGACTGCAGCTGGTGGATGAGTTATGCTTAAACAAGGAATCCACTGAAGGCTCTATGGGCATGGGTAACCTGGGCTGGAGAAGGTATTCTCTAAAAAGACAATGCTCCAAACCTCTGCATAGTAACATTGTACCTTTGTTGTTCAATAAAAATGTGTATTTGATCTCAGCAGAGCTAAGTCTCACCTCAGCCTGGGGATTACAGAAGGTTTTATGGATTGCTGCCTTTAGGCAGCTGCAAAGCAAACGTTCTTGGATTACGTTTTCATTAATTGAAAGGGGAAAATTTGTTAAGAAGTCCTTAAGGTGCTCGTTTTCTTCACCCAAGGTTTTGATCTTTTGCCTTGAAGCCCAGTGTGCAACTTCATGATGTGTATTTGGCCACCTGCCCAGGCACTGGGACCGGAAAGGTGACACAGCCCCAAAAGCAAATAGCTCCTGATGTCACCTGGGGCTGTGGGGCCAAGGGCAGTGGCAGATGGTGGCTGGGCTGAAGGGGAGGTGGATGGAGCCAGAGGGGCGTTTTGTGCCGGGAGAATTTGGCTGACAGGGCCAGAGGGGGTGCTGGCACTTTGGGGGCTGAGCTCCCCCGGGCTGTGTGACATCAGGGATGTCCCTGCACTGCCGGGAGGGGACAGCGCGGGTGGCTGAGGGATGGCTGCCCTCTGCTGCCCGCAGGGAAAGGGGAATGTGCCCTTCCCAGGGAAAAGCCACACACTCAGGAGGAAACCTGGCTGAGAATTCTGCCCACCACGCACCTGTGTGTTTTTTGCTTATGGAATTGTTTTTTGATTTTTTTTCCCTAAGGGGAAGTTTTTCCTAAGTAGGAAAATCTCCCTTCTCAGTTACTTCTGGAGTGATTAAACTGCTGGCCTTTAGTTCACATTTCTCAGGTTTTTCTCCCATAACTGCCAGCTATCCTCCTCAGCATGTTGTGTTGAAGCAAGAGAAATTAAAAATGTGAATGTGTAGTTCAAAGTCTCTCCCTTGCTAAATGTGGATTACCCAATCCACATTTTGACAGAAAATGATTACAACTCCCATTTTATTCTTTTGGAGCAACTTTACTGTTTCTTTCAGAAAGAATAAACAAAAGATGATCACTGAATACATATGCTGTGACTCTGCAGGAGGAGAAATGCAATAAGAAAGTCAGATAATTTGATAGGAAGAGTATCAGACCAAGCTCTGAAGGAGAGCAGGATATGAGCATCTTCAGTATTCTGCATTGAATGGGTAGTCCTTGTGAGTTTTGCCCCTGCAGGGAATAGAAGACTTCCTTTTAGTCATCATTTTCCTTTCTAGTTTTGCTTAAAGAAGCCACCAAGGTGGGATCTGAAGTCTGTAATTGAAGGATGGGTTCAGTCCAGATTTGTTTTCCCCTATAGTATGTCTTTTTTATACACTTTGAACATCCCAATTACTTCATCATTCAGGCTCTTGGCATTCTAGGCAGTATTTAGATGTAAAACCTCTGAGTATATAGTATTTTTAACTTAGGGTTTGGAGAAGAATACTGAATGCTACCACTTACATGCTCATTGTATAGACTCTCCAGTTTCTGTTAAAGCTGAAAATAGTTGCCATCTCCTCTTTGGTCAATTTGAAGTCAAACACCTGAAAAGTGAAACAGCTTGGAATCACCTCTTTGAATAAACCAGAGGCTGTAAGCAAAATCCACAAAAATAAAGAACAAGTCTGCAAGGGAGGGTAGCTGGTTAGAAGACGTGACTGCTTCATGAAAAAGGCAGCTGTATCACCAGGAATGCACTGGCAGAGGGAATAGAAAAATTCATCCAAAGTTGCAATTACACATGCCAGCTGTTGCAGGGCACTTGGCAGGCTCTTGCATCTGCCACTTGTGAGTGATGCATCTTTCTGTCCACATCTACAAGATTTCCATATTTCACTTAATCTGTCTAGGCTTTTTGAAATCCCAATGACCAGTTGCAGTCAAAAACCACTGGATTAACAACAGAGCAGCACGGTTTGTTAAACAAACAACTGTTTTCTTAACACTGCTTGCTCTACATAAGCCTTTTGTGGTGCACTGCTGCACTCAAGTGCCAGTGAAAAGCCATGTGGCAATTCATCTCCAGTCTGCAGAATACAAGACACCACAGAAAGTGGCTGCTAGAATTATCTGAATAATTAAAAAGACTTGGTTCAGTCCTGCTCTCCGACTGTAACCTTAAGTAGAGTGTGTAAACAGACAAAAAGCCTGGTGTTCTTGCCTGAGCAAGGAAGAATGATAAAGGATCTTTTCCCTTGCTGTGCAGGGACAAGCCAAGCCATCCCTGAGGGGCAGCCCCTGCTCACTCCTGATCCCCTCACCTTGAAGTTCTCTGCAATGCGCTGTGGGGTGACAGATTTGGGAATCACAACCACATTTCTCTGGATCTGGAAGCGAAGGAGAACCTGCAAGGACAGACAACTCAATCATTCCTGTTGCTCTGGAGGAAGCAGAGCTGTTCCAACAGCTGTTATCCCTGTTTCCAATCATTCCTGTCCCTGCAGCCCTGTGCAATAATACAGAACCCAGTGCAAAACAACTAAATAACTATTTAGTGCAGTACAACACGGCCTGAAGAGCAGAGAGGGATGTGGTGGAGCCTCACAGGAAAGGTCTCCTTTCCCATCCAGGTTTGGGCCAGTCAAGCCTTCCTGCTCTTGCAGACTTCTATCAAGGTTTCATCCTCTGCAAGAGGACTTGAGATGAAGACTGAAACATTCCAGCACTTGAAGACAGGTGAAGAAAATTTTCATGATGACAGTCAGAGCACACTTAGAGAGAGTTCATTGCAGGCCTCACAGAAAACAGCCCCTGCACTGCTGACAGGGAGCCAAGAGCCAGCCTGTCCTCTCCATTGTCATTAGCTCTCTTTGTTACACGAAGAGGTACCCACAGTCTGGCATCCACCTACCTGGGCTGTGGATTTGTTGTGTTTGGCTGCAATTTCCTTGATCTTGGGGTCATCCAGCAGGGAAGGATCCTCTGGCTTAGCCCTACACAGTGGAGAGATAACAGCAGAAATCTGTTTTGAGACCAATGGCTAATACACTCAGTGTCTCAGTGCTCCAAGCATTATCCACACCAGCTCCCTCACACTGCAAAGCAGCCTTACCATGGTCTGTCAGGAGAGCCGAGGGGGCTGTATGCTGTCACAGCAATCCCTTTGGACTGGCAGTAGTTCACCAGCTTCTCCTGGGTGAGGTATGGATTGCATTCAATCTGCCAGCAGAAGAGCACAGAGACTGACAGAATCCAGCTGTAACTCACTGCAGGGATTAGCTTCCAATGCTCTTAAAGGCTGCTCTTTGTCCTCATGGGCCACTCTTTGCAAAGCATCATTCACCTGCTTCTACAGTGACATTTCTTGTACCTCTGGGTCTTTGCTCTGGGGAAGGAGCATTTCATAAGGCTCTCTTCTGGTTTCTTTCTCATGTTCTGAGGGCCTTCTCAGATTTCTAAGCAGTAGCTTAGCAAATACTGAAAACCCCAATGCCTCGTATACTCAGCAATAAGGTGGAGTGGGATGAGAAGGACATGCTGCATCTGCTCTGTTCTTCCCCCCAGTCTGTTCTAGACATAAAAGCTCCCTTTCTCATGAATTGGTGCCCCTTTCTCATGTGCTGTAGGTTAGGAAAAAGATGCTTTTCTCTCCCCGCCAGTCTGTTTTAGACATAAAAAAAGCTCCCTTTCTCATGAATTGATGCCCCTTTCTCATGTGCTGTAGGTTAGGAAAAAGATGCTTTTTTTCCCCTTTACTTTTTGTTGTTGTTGTTGTTTTTGTTGCTACATGTAGAGGAAGGACTGGCAGGGCTCTGGAGACTGAGGGAATTCAGTACTCTTAGTGAATATGCAAGAAGCTTATGCGTTTTTTCCCCTTTCGTTTCTGTTATTGTTGTTGTTTTTGTTTCTACATGTAGAGGAAGGACTGGCAGGCTCTGGAGACTGAGGGAATTCAGTACTCTTAGTGAATATGCAAGAAGCTCTGAATTCAGAACTGTAAGAGATGTCTGAGTCTGTCCAAGACCCCTTGATGGGATAACCTTCTGCAGCTCCTGCATACAAAAGGGCAGTGGCTGCTGTATGCAGACAAAGACTGATTTTTTTAATATATATGTCTGTATAAAACCCCTTTATTTTTTATTTTGCATAAATCAGGGTAGATACCAGGAAGCCACTAATGTGTCAGTAAATGCTGCTTCTGTATAGAAGTTAAAACTGACCTCCCTTTCCAACTGGGTGACTGAATTGTGGATTCCTGCATGACAAAAACACATACTGTGTGAACAGTTGTCTTCTATTAACAACAAGGTTGATGCCATTACTAATAACAGAACAAGTATTTTAAGAAGTTCTTGTTGTAATTTGTGTACCACAACTTCATTCCCTCTCAGAACACAGATCTACAGCATCTTTATGTGTACCCAGAAATAATCAGAGGGCATAATTGTGCTGTGTCTGCTTTGTTCTTCCTTTTTGCATCTCCTCAGGCAGCTGTAATTGGATCTTTATAATCCCGCAAAACCTGCAGTCACTTTGCAGCTCACCTGGACATTTGCAGGTTTGTGCTTCAGTCCTGGCTTGTTCAAGATCCTTTCAATCTGCTCATGGTTGAAGTTGGAGACTCCAATGGCTTTTACCAGGCCAGCATCCACCAGCTCCTCCATGGCCTGGCAGAGAGGGGAGCACAGTCAGCACCAGTGTACAAATTCCTTCCAGGCCCTGAAGGAATTATTCCTTGTGTGGCTTCATTTCCCTTCATGGGCAAGGAAAGACAACTGTTTGGAGCTGCAAAGATTGTCGCTTGAGGGAGAGTGACCTCTGGTGTATTTGTGTCTTCCAAAGGCTCCTTTCTTGAGATGGCAGAAATTCACTCTCAGTTATTTTCACATGGGAAATAAGGATAATCAATGATGTGTTCTTGAGCCAGTGTCAGAGGGCTGTAGTGCAGGCTGTGGGTATGATCCCAACCTAATTTATTGAAAAGCTACATTGCATATGGTGCAATAAATACATAAGAACTTTGTGGCTGCTGAAAGCAATGAAAGCATGGAAAAGGCTGACAGCAACACAAAACATGATTTCCACCATGGATGAACTTACCTCCCATGTATCTAGAAAATCTGTGTTGCTGGGTATAGCCATGCCTTTGTCATCTG